ATCACTGCTAATTGACCGCCGTCGGTGAAGTGCGCTTATACACGTCGTTTTACGGAGTAGGACCTAATTATGTTAATATGTGGCGTAATTAGATTTCTCTCTAGTCGCCGCGGCGATTCGCACGGGGTTGGCAGAGATGAGCGCAGAAACTAGCGCTGCGACACTCACGCTGCGACGACGGCTTGCAATGTTTTTACGCGATAAGTGCGTCATTTCACAACTTTCTACTCATCCGCCCGTCTGTCAACCTATCCGTCTGTATGTTAGTCCGTACATCTGTTCAACCCGGGGTCTACAGCTATGTGAAAATGCCTGGAAACGTCCGTTTATCCGTCTATCCGTCCGTCTGTCTGTCAGTCCGTCTGTGCGTCAGTCCGTACATCTTTTCATCTCTCGAGTCTACAGCTACATGAAAATACCTAAGTCCATCTATCCGTTCGTCCGTCTGTCAGTGCATCTGTTATCCACTCATTCTACGATTTTCTGCAGTCAATCTGAAAGTCGAACTGTTCTCGTTTTTAACGTATTTCGAATATGCGCGGAGACGCCCGTCTCGTGTACGTTTACCGGATCCGCGCCCGGCAACTGGATACGAGATCAAGCTAGTGGTGCTCCTGGAGAAGTCAGAAAAATAAATAAAATCGGCGACGAAAAATGAGAAAGCCTGCTTCGTCATTGTTCCTTTTACGATCGACAACAATATTTCGACAGCATAATCTGAAAAAGCTGTCTTGCTTCATTGCGCGCAGGTTCTCTCACGCGTCATCCTGACATTCCAGATAGCCAACCACATAGTTGACATCAATAGCTAATAAACAGGTGTTTATTAGCTCTTGTTGACATCCAATAGCGAAGCACTACGAAAGAATTCAATCTTACCACGCCGAATATGCCGAAGCAGCCCAAATACGATTGCTGGGATTGCATTAAACACCAACGCTGGGGTAGGCTATGTCAAAGCAGACAGGTAAGGTAGAGGGAGGAGGGTGGACGGTAGATTCAGGGGGCGACGCTTGAGTATTGAAAGGGATTAGATAAGGAATTAGATAGCTAGATTGAAGTAGATAAGGAAGAGTGGTTAAGGAAACGGAGAGGGGTGAGAATCTATGTAGGCAAGAAAATGGGAGGGGGAGCAGCAGAGGAGCAGGGATAGTGGGGGAAGGTAGAACAGAGGAGAGGAAGGTAATAAATGGGAAGACGGTGCATGGAGAAAGTAAAGGAGATCAGGGAGTAAGAGTAAGGTGGTGTAAACGTAATAAGGGGAATGCAGAGGGGGAAGGGTTAGGGCGAGTAGAGGGTGGGAGATGGGGCGATGCTGCACATGGCAGACGAGATAAAAGAGTGCAGCGGAAGGTCAAGTAAAGAGGGAAGCAGCGAGAATCGTGTTTCAAAACACTAGGTCGCGTTTGTTACGGTAACATCTATTGGTAGCGTTTGTAGGTTGTTTTTTCATGTTGTACTTACCGTATTCATGCACCTATGGCTACCGCATGTATTTATAAACCCATTTGCTAACATGGTGCACATGGTACGCGATATTAGCTTAGATTTTCTGGACTCGTACGTTGGTTCCTAATATATTTACGCGAATATCTCGCGCATTTACTCATGTACAAGAACACACGACGCCAGATATCATGACACCATTGAAAGGCTCTCTGTCGGCATTCATTCGTTATTTGCTTAATAATATCAACAGATTTCTGCATAGTTGTGGAGTCTTCTTTTAAGATAACCTAATATTTAATCGAGTATAGATTTTGTTCTTGCGGGCATGTACATTCTTCTTACAGATAACTATATACGTGATAAAATCAATCAGCTGTACATTCACACGCACGCCCGTTGAGATTGTGCCAGTGTATGATACGCCCTATTAATCCTCGAAAACCTTTCAAACCTAACGCTCCTGCCTCTGTTTGACCAGTTATCTAATATCTGGGCACGGGGCGGGTAGTGCTGTAATTTCCGGTTTAAGGGATTCACGCACGTTGGTTTGCTCTGGCACGCAGACGCGTTGTTTGAACATCGTTCCGTCTGCCGGCCACATCTCGCAACTTATTTCAGCGGCCAAATTTGCTTTGTAAGACGGCAAATACTGCTCAAGTGGCGATGAATAGAAGTCTAATAGATATCCAATTGGCGAATTGATCTAGCTCCAACGTGCACCTGGCCTCGCTAGAGAAGGACTATTATCGATTTGGAAATCTTTCGTAGACATCGAGCGCAAAGATAGGGGTTAAGTCGCACGTCCGCACATACACAAACACGCATGCACGCACGCACGCACGCACGCATGCACGCACGCACACGCACGCACGCACGTAGTTATGTACGAACGTACGCCCGCGCGGGCGCACACAGACACACACACATACACACACACACACACACACACACACACACACACACACACACACACACACACACACACACACACACACACACACACACACACACACACGACACACACACACTCACTACACTACACACACACACACACACACACGCACGCACACACACACCGACAACACACCAAAACACACACACCACAGCACACATACACACGGCACAACATCACTCACATGACACACCACAACACGACACACAACACTCCGCCACCACACACACACACACACCACATACACACACAACCTCATACACACACACGCACACACACACCCACAACACACACACACACGCACACACACACACACCACCGCGCGCCGCCGGCGCGCGCCGCGCGCCACGCGTGTAGGTCGCAGAGAAAGAAAAGCATATGCGTGTACACAACGGCGATACCCCATACTATGCCAAGCTACAACAGGTAATACTGTCTACTATCGTACTGTGTACCAATATAGATAATCAGACTATCTCATACTATACTATCTAAGTGGTCAATATTATTATCATGCTCGTTATCACGGTCTGTAGTACACGTTTCATTTATTCTGCTTATACATAGCGAGTACTGGGTAAATCTGCAGGGAAGTGCGCCCGAGCAGGGGTATGTTCACGTTCATCGTCCACGGCAATAAAATACACATAAAACTGCGCGTGTTTACTCTCGTGGTTTACGCGTCTCACATGCACCAAAGGAGCATTACTTTTACTCCAGCTACTACTACTTCTACTTTACTGACAAGCTATTACTCTAACGGGCGCACTTGCTAACGTAGAAGAACAGCTTTGTCCCGGGTCGGAAGTAGTAATGGCACTGCTGGTCCAGACCCATAAACTGATCCATGATCGCCAAATTTACCGACTCGTCGTATAGGGCAAGACGAGGCGCGTGTGGTAGAATGTGACTTAATTATCGTAAACTCACGACCTTCATGGTTATGGGACTGACGCGGTACCTACGAAGTTTTTGACGTATGTATACGCGCATATCAAAGAAGCTGACGCTAGCGTACATCGGCTACGAGGGCATTCGCCTGCGAACGGAATTACTCTAACTGTAAGCGTCGTGTTCACGCGTCAAAGTGCCCCGCGAATCGCGGCTTTTCCCGGACAGCATTGATAATTCACACAATCCCGCTGCATTACGCGCACTACGCCATACGCGGTGATGCCAACTGCCCCCTCCCCTAAGTTCGGATTGTAGAAAACTTCTCTAGCCACGTCCGTCAACATTAATTTGCACTAGGTAAACAGCGTTTATTGATGTGGTGTGCCATATTACAGTGAAGAAGTTTCACCGCCATATCGCATCGATATAAAATCAAGATGAAAAAATATTAATATAAGACGTGAACTAGTTCTAATCGATCGCAGCCATCGCAGCCTCTGCAGATTAAACAATTATGTAGCGGGTGGTACTACCTATAACAACAATTTAGCTCCACTTATATGAGTTTAGGCCAGATCTGAATGCTTAAAGTTAATAGCACCGTGTTCATTATTAAGGATCTTATGAACCCTGACGTCCTGTAGCTGTATCAAGTAAAGCCCCTTTGTAACTGCATGATTTAATTATTTGGATGTTAAATCACTCTATGAGCGCCTACATGTAATTACTGAGACAAATCGATAAAACAAGGGCCCTCGCAGCAATTTAAGGTCGACGGGATGGATTTTCACGTTTGCATTAAACCTGAAGGCATACGCGCAAATTTCACGGCTAAAACATTTTCATGTACAAGCCGTCTCTTGCTTTCACAGTGATGCATTCATTGTGCATTCATTGAGATTTCATACATTCTTTCGCAAAACTTCGCTATACGTCCAGATTGCGGTATTTATATTACATTTAACGCACACCCCTCCACTGTTTATGGGGGGAAGGGTTTCGGGTTTTTAAAGTAAACATTGCCTCTTATCACCTCCTAACTACTTCCTTTACATGATTATATATCATGACAAGTGTTATGATCTGTACAATGTTTCTGCAGCTAGCAATAGTTGTATCTTTGTAATGCACATGGTTTTAACTATTACTGTTACTTCTCACCTATAGATCTCAGCTATATCAGTATGCATCGTTGCAGAAATGTCAATGTTTCACTATTCATACAATAGTTACACTTGGTATATTTCGCCTACGGGGCCCTACTATAAGAACTATTCGCTTATGTAAAATTTAATGTAAAATTATTTCTACACCATACGCCGACACCAGTCCTGTACACGTCTCAGGCTATGTGCAGCATGCATGGTTATCCTGGCTATATTTCGTCTTCTACAGGTATCCGCTATGGTGCAGCATGGTTATCCTGGCTATATTTCGTCTTCTACAGGTCTCCGCTATGGTGCAGCATGGTTATCCTGGCTATATTTAGTCTTCTACAGGTTTCCGATATGGTGCAACATGGTTATCCTGGCTATATTTCGTCTTCTACAGGTCTCCGCTATGTGCAGCATGGTTATCCTGGGTATATTTCGTCTTCTACAGGTCTCCGCTATGGTGCAAAATAGCTATCCTGGTTATATTTCGTCTTCTACAGGTTTCCGCTATGTGCAGCATGGTTATCCTGGCTATATTTCGTCTTCTACAGGTCTCCGCTATGGTGCTGCGTCACGAGGCGGCGGAAACTGACGATGCTCGAGCGAACGCTGCTCGTGTCTACAATCACGATGGTAGCAGCGTGTTTAGTGTTAGTAATTCTCCTCGCGCTAGGCAGTGAAGGTGAGTGATTGATTATGGAAATGAGGTAAGTTATAACCTTGTCAGATCCCCCCCCCCACGTCTGCACGATCGGGACAGCGTGATAGCTCAATGATCGGCATCGTGGATTTGGATAATGCACCGGCCGATCTATGTAGAAAGAATATGCGTCATCAGCCATTTCCGCATTATGATTCTTAATTGCCTATAAACTAAATATCGTTCTGTAATTATTACCTCCGCCAAGGGGTTGGCAGGAGGTTATGTTTTCACCGGCGTGGGTTTATTGGTTTGTGGGTTTGTTTGTGTACAGCCTAACTGAAAAAGTTATGGACGGATTGTCATAAAATGTTCAGGATAGGTCAGAAATCGCCTAACTTAGAATTGATGGGATTTTGGTGGTGATCCGGATCCAATTAATTAATTAATTAAATTTTCAGGATAGGACAGAAATGGGGTAACTAAGAATTGATTACATTTTGGTGGTGATCCGGATCCAATTAAATAATTAACTAATTAATTAATTAATAAAATGTTCAGGATAGGTCAGAAATGGGGTAACTTAGAATTGATTAAATTTTGGTGGTAATCCGGATCCAATTAATTATTTAATTAATTAATTAAATTGTTCACTTAATTAATTAATTAATAAATAAAACATTTTACAGTGAGAGAATTCAGCTTCCTTGGCGGAGGTCTGTGCTCTCCGAGTGCTCTAGTTCTATCTACATTCTCGCGCACAATATTGATACACACTCTACTGGTTGGCAGAAACAATTCTATTACGTATTACGTTCAATAACCTGTAATAATCAATTTCCATCGATCACATAGCGAATGAGTCCATAACACCATAGCGAATGAGTCGTAATTCTATTGTCACAGATATTCATGATGGCGTTATATAGAGAAGCACTTGGTCATATTCTAATTGTTAGGCGATCATGTTAGGCAATATTTATTTGGCTTACGGTATATGCGAACATTATGTCGGTACATTAATTGCTACTGTAGTAGCATACAGGTGTAAAGGTTGTGCATTGACCTTAGAAGTGTATTACAAACCTGTTGTGAGAAAATATTTATCACAAATATTTACATGCATACAACTATTGCCACACACAGTCTAACCCACATACACTGACATGTACAGCACGTACGCATTAATATATTTACACACACACACACACACACACACACACACACACACACACACACACACAGCACACACACACATCAGCACACACACACACACACACACACACACACTAACACACCGACCACACACACACACACACACACACACACACACACACACACACACACACACACACACACATACGCATTTACTGCTCTTTGTGCATTCCCTGTCCCTTCTTTACATTAACTCCTCCTCTTGCATTGACTGTTTCTCGTGCATTCAGTGCTTTACATACATTCGCTGTCACTCGTCAACTAACTTCTCTTATTGTGCTAAATGGTCTTTCCTTGTTCACTGAAGCACGATGCTTCAGTGCGTATATACAGCTGCGTTTCTATATAGTTATCTTACATTAATATTCTGACATTTATTCATAAATGTGTTTCATAAAGTATCTATCTCTAATATTCTCTAATATTTTCGAACTTAATACTGCGATGTTTGTTGTTGTTTTTAGTAAATATTCGCTTTTTCCTAGATTCACCTGAACACCGTAACGCCACACAAGAAATATGTTTGACGGCTGATTGTATAAATATAGGTAAGTGCATTTATGCAAATAAAACTGCTAATTGAAAAGTTGAGCTGATGAAATTAAAGTAAACGTCTATATTTAATTTTTTTAATTTTATCAATGATTTCTCAGATGGGCATGAGTCCGTATAACCGTTCCTGAAGCGTGTTTGATTGATATTATATCCTCACTTAAAATGACGTATAACCCACTTATTACACATTTTGTGCTAGAGCCTCAAGTGTTCTGTGATAACACTACATCCCGTGATCCACTGTGTTGTTAAGCGAAAAGGAAACGTTTCGAACCGAACAAAATTAATCGTCAACTGCCACAGCACTGGTGTCGTTTTACCTTTCAGCAAAATTTTTCTCGAATTATTCAAAGCGCAATTAGGCGGATAGGCACGCTGGACAATTAGGCGGATTGTTCTAGCCTACGATTACAGCTCCGTTTTCTTTATTAGGTTACGTGTGCGCAATTTATTGCGCGCGTGTATAGTGAGTGCTGTAGCGCGCATGTTTGGGAGATAGTACGTGCTGGTTCAGGTCTATCGCGAGGAAAGCATGCGCACGATCGCTTCACTCCACAGGCTTTTTTCATAACTGCCATTGACTAAAGAATTGCGTGTGAGATTCGAGTTGTGCCTTTAATGGACATTGTCAAGCAATGCGGAAGGATATCAGTTTTGAAATGATATGATTTCACAGTCACGCTATACGCCTATACGCGATACAAAGTATATTTAGCATTCATTTTATATTATGGACAAATATGTGTACGAGAGGCGTGTATTCAGACTGCGATCACAAGAATTAATTAATTTATATAAACACGATAATAGCGCGACCATCAATATATAAAACAGCTTTTATCCGTTTAAGCGCTAGGCAGCACGAGCGAAGATGGCCGCAACGACGGTGCGATCTTATTCTTTGGTGTACGTCTAATAGACTCTCATTTCAAGGGGCAATATCCAGAGCAACCCATCCTTCAAACTTTAGTCGGCATTTTTCTCGCACCCAATTGAATACGTTTCCAATACACACGCTTTCTTAATGTGCAGTGATACCACCTCGCCCGTGGGAATTCGCGATGACGTCACTACGACTTGCCCGTACACACCGCATCACGGTCACAACCGAGTGTTCGCGTTGCGTGTCTGTTCCTCTCCGTCAACGACTACCCTCAATCAGCGGCGCCGAAATCATCCGTCGTCATCGGGCGTGATTGCGCGTGCGCGTCGAAATAAAATTGCGAGCTCGCGAATTCACGAACTGCGCGTCTTATTTTGCGCGCGCGTTTATTTTTCTCCTCGGGCAGCTGCGTCGATGATCAACCGTATGGACGCGAGCGTCGAGCCGTGCGACGACTTCTACCGATACGCGTGCGGCAACTGGCTGCGCGAGAACGTGCTGCCCGACGACGAGACGGGATACGACGTGTTCTACATACTCACGATGAAAAACATGAAGAAGGTTAAAAGTAAGCCAGCCGCATGCGGACGCGCGGAAGGAGGGCCGGCCGCCATATAACGTTGCGCTACGAGGCGATTGCGGCGCACGGCGAGATCGTATTACGATAGAGTGCGCGACCGCTCGTCAAATTTACGAGAATGTTTCTAACCCTTCGCGCCTCGCATTCCCGCGCCGCGAGAGAGAAGGGGGTGTTCCCTCATCTGTCTCTGCGGACCGATTTTCTGCGATACGCGCCATATTGTCTACAATATGCAGCACTGCTGCATATATATGCCATTATATAGACATTCTATTCTAGAGCAGGCATCCATAATTATACGATTGAGAAACATGCTAGAAGCGATATGGGGATATGATCAAGAGTAGATAATAACACAATAATGTGTTATTATCTACTCTTGATATGATCAGGAGCGTATAATGACAAATATATTTGTCATTATACGCTCCTGATATGATGTATATGGCGGGGCCAACGAAACATAGCAGTACTTGAAAATTTGTGAGCTTTTATTAGCTGTAGTTGATATCGACTATATGATAGCATATATGGCAGCAGGATGGGTGTATGGCCGGGCGTCGCCGGGGTATGCTGGTCAGAAACCTTCTATCACAGAGATAACCTAGTTTGTTTGCTGTCCATGGCAACGCCAAATTCGCCATTTTGCAAATAAGCACATTAGTGCCACCGTAGCAGCTGAATTGTATATTGTTATTCTATCTTGCTGTACGATCTTTGCTCGATCCCGGCAAACAAAATGTCTGACATGCATTTTGTTAGATTTCCGTGTTCTCGCACAGCATAAAATGAAATGGCTTTACTATCAGTGAAAAAACTCTGCGGACAATGTTACGCTGGCGAACCTGTTGATTAGTGGTTGTAAACGAGTTTCCAAGATGACAGCAAATTGGGAAGAATCTGCGGTAACTGTTCTCTGAGGTCGGGTCAGCATGTATCGGAAAGTAGCGGGAGCACATCGGTAGGGTTATATCGGCAGATGATGGGACGAGTTGAGAAAGGATTAAGGGCACACACCGAACGTAAATATCACCAATATGGATGCAATTAAGTTCAGCGATGTGTTCGCAAAACTGGTGTAGGCCTACTTGCTGACGTGGTCTGCACACGTCCAATGCCTTTCTCGTTAGCTCTTTCCTCTTTGAATACTGATTATCGCAGTATCCCACAGCATGTGTGATAACCCTCAACGCTTGGCAAGAGCTTCATAATGCTTAGATAATACAGAGTTTACCTGAAAGGAACCTACAGTTAAGCAATAGTTCACTTATTTGGCACATCGCGATGCGTCCGCCAGCGCGCGCGAGTAAGTAAACTGTTCAAATATTGTCCGAATTTAATCAATGCCGTCTTCTTCAGAACTCGTCGAGGAGCCAATATCTGACGAAGATAACATAGCGACGACCAAGGTGAAACAGTTCTACGTATCTTGTACAAACGTCAGTAAGCATCGACGCCGATATTGATTTATCGTAGTAAAACTGGATTATATATCACGCACACGGCACAGCCACGCACGCACGCACACACACACACACACAC